CCCCAAAACCCCAAAACCCCAAAACCCCTCTTACTATCACTTTATTGAAAATTATTTAACCAACATAAAAATGTCCAACCGTCCACTTGCCAAAACAGAATCGTAAATCCCCCATTCCACAATCCCTTCCTTCTTCCTCACATCTATAAAATCCCTGCTGCCCAAATCCCTGTTGCTAACTCTCCTGTATAGGTACCAGTACAAGTGAACTTATACACTGCATAAGGAACTTTATAGGAAGAGTGCAGCTTTTCCGAAGAGATTGTTGAGTCAGCAGAGCTCAATGAGTGGGTTTTGAGGGGTGACTAGAGGAGGGATTTGAAAGGGTCAGTGAGAGGAGTGTGAGAGGAGGAAAGCAGGTGAGAGGAATGGTAGGTTGAAGGGTGATAATTGCTAATCCTGCATCTATAGCTACAGCGAGTAAGTTCAAGATCAAGACCGCTCAAGAAGTTGAATCAGAGCATAAATAAACACATGGATGAGCTATTCTTCCAGCTAAGGAAAGGCCATTCTGGAAGAAGGAAGATTGCAGGAAACAGGTAATTTATGTATTTCCATACTATCAGAGCTGGAGCTCTGCTATTTCCAGAGCCGCGTATACTTCCAAAAGAGCTTGGCCGTTCTCTGAGTCATGAATATCGTTGATGAAGACATTCATCTGAAAAGAACGATTTTTAGCATGATTTTCTGAATTTTCTGTTACTAAATTTTATGGTAGAATAAATAAGGTATGGGCTAATGTAGTTCGAAGTTCATAGCGTTATGTACTAAATAAAACTAACCAATACTTCTGTTATACTTAAGAAGTTTTATTTTTACCAGAGCCTACAAATAATAAGGATCTGCTCATTTTAACTAGCTTAACCATGAATTTTATCTTGGATTGGATGAAAATGTGTTAATACCCCTATTTGCTTGCAGTGTATTATTCAAGCCCAGGATATTTAGTATTCATCATCTCAAGGAATCAAATAAGCTATGTAAAGCTTTGTAAAAAGCTTTGATCAAGAGTTTTTGTGCTAACCAAACTTTTAGATACTCTTTTTCTAAGTACAATTATCTTATTTATCAAAAATGGCTTGATAGAATAGAGAAATTTGAATGATTTTGATGTAGTCAATGTCTAAAATTCAGATATTATTTATAAAGATGCTTTATATCCCAGCCTTTAAAATTTTCTATAAACTTTTAACTCTATCACAGCTCTAAAAATAATGTTTCCCAAGAGAGATCAACTATAAAACAAATAAGGAATAGAGGATTTTACAGAACAAGTAGGCTTCGGACTAGTCATATGCCTCAGCGCCGGGTACTCTCCCAACCTAAAGGTCAAGTTTCAGTCTCCAAAGAATCCAGCAATGGAATGGTATCCAATAAAATGACTTTGTAGAGGACAGGAAATAGAAGATACATCCAAGCAGCTGCTTCGTTAAAGAGGAAGGAAACTTTAAATACTACTCATAAAGAGAGTGGAACTAATTTTGATAGGATCTCTAAAATGTTCACAAAATTCAGCCATTATCGAGCATTTTCAGACCTCGGTGTTAATAACAAAGTAGTCTCTTTTACAGCAAAGAAAAGTACAGGGAAATGAAGAAGGCTCTTTACTGCTTCTAGGATGAATTCTTTCAAGGGCAAATAGAATTAGCGTGAAGGTAACAATTAATTAAAATCTGTAGGCTCAAACACTGAGGAAATCATTCAAAGCAGATAGATTTCCCTGGAGGGAGATTCCAACTCAGAGTATTATCAATAAGATGGAAATTACCCAGAAGCTTAACCAATCAAAGTCAGAACAGATCGACAAGGTATCAGTAGAATAACTCTTTAGTCCAAGGAAAATTCCAGACCATCCATGGTAGAGGCAAGCTATCGTCCTCTTGAACAATTTTTGGAAGAAGCCATAGCCCTTAAAGAAGAGGTCAAGCCTCTTCTCAAAAGAACAATCTTGTACCAAGGAAGGTACGATGATGCCAAGAAGACTGGAAAAGGTGATTTTGTGTTTCCGAATGGTGACTTTTACAGAGGAAATTTCAGTAATGATCTCAGAGAAGGATTCGGAACACTCGTATCATTCAAAAATAATTTTGTTTACAAAGGAGAGTTCAAGCAAGATGAAATCCGAGGTAACGGAATATGTCTCCATAGCAATGGTATGATCATAGATGGCTTCTATATTGGAGTAAACACTGATTGTAACATCTAGGAACAAAAATTAAACAAAGATACTGAAGTTAAGGTACTGTACACCAATGGAGAAGTATATGAAGGCCGTTGGAGAGAGAACAAAAGATCGGGCAAGGGAAAGCACATCTACAGTGATTACTCCATCTATGATGGAAACTGGCTTGATGATGAGAGGCATGGCAATGGAAAAATGACTCTTCCCAACAATAGCTTCATCATTGGAGAGTTCAAAAATGATGTTATGATTAGTGGCTCAAAATACATTGATGAGAATCGTAATATCTTTGAGCCGATGTTAAATGGGGATCAAACTGGTAAATTCTACAGAGGAAGACTTTACGGTTATGGAAAAGCCAACTTTGTCAACGGAGATTTCTATGAAGGCATGTTCAAGGATGGAAAGCGTTGTGGTAAAGGAAAAATGCAGTACAAATAACATCAAGAAATTCAACGACGAAGATAACGGATCCTCATACCCCGGAAGCAACATGTTTGATGTTGACTGGGCGATCTACGAAGGAATGTGGAACGACAACTGTAGACACGGCCAAGGTACTATGAGGTGGAGCGACGAGAGCCAATTCGAAGGCGAATGGCGAAAAGACAAAAGATATTATGGAACCATGGTTATGGTCACTGGTGAAGAATACAGAGGGTATTGGGAAAATGACAGATTCCATGGCAAAGGCAAGATCACAACTCCTGAAGGTATTATATTCGAAGGTGAATTTATCAACGGATTCAGAGAAAAATATGGAAAAATCTTTTACGAAGACAGATCAGTCTACACAGGAGAACTTGAGGACTGGACTCGACAAGGAATAGGAAAATTAGAAGGAAACGGGGATATTTATGAAGGAGAATTTGACGATAACCGTAAAAACGGAGAAGGAAAGATGTATTACAAGAATGGAGACTATTACAGTGGATCATGGCTAGAAGATAAGCGAGAAGGTAATGGAACAATGTTTTATAAAGCAACAAAAGAAGTGTATGAAGGAGAATGGAACAGGGATATACGTTCAGGGATTGGAAAACTAATCATGCCCAATGGCAAAACTATTGAATGTGAATGGAGAAATGATAAAGCCCAAGGGGAAGGTAAGCTATACGACAGCTAATCAATACCATAAATATTCAATGTTTTATTTACCAAAAGGGGTTTTGGGGTTTTGGGGTTTTGGGGTTTTGGGG